TGATAAATGTTGTTGATAAATACCAAATCATTTTGAATAGAGTCTTAATGGGGGAAAGCTGAGAAAGGAACTTCTAAAAAAAATCCAAAGGGGAATGAAAACACTGACTATAATTCCTGTGCTTCCTAAGGCTAGAAGGAAAGAAGCTCGACTCGCTGAAGCATGGAAGAAAATAGAGCCCAAGGAGGACTCTGGTGAACCAACTCATGATCCTGAGATACTAACACCAGAGGAGCATTTTTACTACCTGAAGATGGGGCACAAGTGCAAAAACTATGTGCCAATTGGAAGACGTGGCATTTTCCAAGGAGTGATTCTCAACATGCACCTACACTGGAAAAAGCATCAAACTCTAAAAGTTATTGTCAAAACTTTCACCCCTGAAGAAGTCCAGGAGCTTGCTAGTGAGTTGGCAAGATTAAGCGGTGGAATAGTGCTCGATATTCACGAAGGGAATACGATTATTATGTATCGTGGAAAGAACTATTCTCAGCCTCCAACAGAAATCATGTCCCCCAGGGTTACACTCTCTAGAAAGAAGGTAAGACGAGAATAAAAAGGTTTCTTTTCCTCCAGATTTTTCATTTCTTTCTTCTGTGTATTATGTTGATATAATTAAATGGGAGATTATAGTATTGAAGTTAATATTGAATCTCATTTTTAAGAAAGAATTAATATTGAATATAGTTTTAACGAGTAAGATAGTTTCTTTTAGGCACTGCATTGCTTCAGGAAACTATTTCCTTGTGTGTATTTTGACTAATCAATGCATGTATGCATGTTTATACATTTATACTCATGGATTTGATGGGATATTTCCTATAGATGGAAACTTTAAAATTCTCTCACGGTTTGGAATTAGAATAACCTTGCACTCAAATGCAGAGTATTATGTAACTCTACTGATTTAAAAAACACGATAGTGGGTGTTTTGATGGAGCTTACCCCCATTTATCTCTGCCAAAACACCCTTATTACTGCAGTTTATTTCAATCCTTCCTCTAGCAAATTACAAATCAAAATATCCCTATTCGTTCACAATCTGACCTAGAGGGCTGGGATGTTTCAAAATTCAAAATAATTGAGCAGGTTTTTAGTGTACTTCTTACTTGGGTCATTCTATAAAATCCAATGTCTGTTTTTTTTCCAATTTTATTGGATGTTGAAGAGACGCATCCCATATTTGTTGTCTATGTTTGCATGTGCAAAGGGCTATCTTTATGCTTCCCCATAGGCTTGCTTTGATGTTCCCCATTTTGCAGGCCTTGGATAAGTCGAAGTTCCGAGATGGCCTACGAGCTGTTCGGATCTTCATTCCACGACTTGAACGAGAACTCGAGGTGCTCCAAGCCCAGATGAAGAAGGAACACGAGCAAAGACTAGTGGCGCAAGAGGAAAATCCAACTATAGAGCTACAACAATCTGTTGAGTCCGAAGCCTCAAACTCCATCAAAACCTTCAACACTTCTAAAGAAGACTCGATGCCTGAATTCTCAGACCCATCACTGGAATCAGACTCTCTCTCTGACATTTTCGAGTCAGACACTGAGTCTTGCTCTGAAGAGGGAGAGAAAGCTTTGTATTTGGATGAGATTGAAGGGTTGCCAAGTGATGAAGGGGAGGAATCAGATGACTTTGAGGAGCATTTGCGTAGGATTTCGGGTGACCGTAAAAGGATGGATTGGCCGGAAAATGACAACATGCCAGAGCTCGACGAGGTGGACAAGATGTTCCTTCGAGCCGGCTCGCTTCTTAAGAATAAGAGGAGTTGATGGTTTGGATTGTGTGAGGGCGTTTGGTGAGTATTGTGGGATTTGTTGGGAACTTTTTTTTGGGGTATTTCAGTAATTTGACAGGCTAGATTTGGGAAATGCTTGTGGTAATGTGGAGTTGTATTGTGTTCATCTACTGAAGTCCGGGCAGTGTTCCTGTCATCTAAGGTCTAGAGCGCATTTACTAAGCAAGCACTGCTGAGGTTCGACTCGGACTCGGCCGGCTTTCTCGGACTCGGCCAGCTTTCTCAGACTCGGCACCTTGCCAAACCCAGTTCCTAGGTACAATTCTGGTTATATAAAAAAATTATATTTATTTTGCTAAATCGATTTATAAATATTTTTTTATATAATATTGATTATCCCACTATGGTTTGTGATTTTTTCTTATCATATCTTATATTTTTCTATTGTTATTTTTTAAAAAAAAATTGTAAGTTGTTTCTGGCTATAAATTAGATTTTCCATATTACATCTTTTATATATATTTTTTGGGAAGATATCAATTAAGGTGTTGAAACACTTACAAAGTCATTGAAGTGATCAAATGACCACAATTATATTTGAGGGTTTGTTTTTTAATTTCTATTGAAATAGATACATCTTCCAAAAAAAAAACTTGAGGAGTTTCCAAATTGCTCATATTCGAGCTTAGGAAGCTTGAACAATTAGGGACACTTTGACAATTTCATCGAGGCCTTAATGTAATGTCATAAGTACTCCTTGTTTAGGGTTAGAAATAATTCTCTTGTATTTGACATAGAAATATAAAAACAAACAATTATTTCTAACCCTAAACAAGAAGGGTATTAATGACATTATGTTAAGGCCTCTTAGGAGTTGAATTGTCAAAGCGCGCCTAATTGTTCAAGCAGACTATTAAATGTAATAAATTGATTTTGTAAAGGGTTTCAAACTTTTATTTGATAGTTTTCTTCTTTCTTTTTTTTTTGGACTTTTATTTATTTAATTAATTTTTTGAAACCGTTAGCCGTCAGTATGGAGCCTAGGATGTTATGTTGAGGCACCTTTCCCTAGCAACCCATACTCCCACCACCTTTTCCTTTTTTTGGACTTTTTACGATATTCATTGTTTTAAGTTCGTTTTTTCTTACTCGTTTTTACTTTAATTTTGCTTTTTTTGATTTTTATCCCTTTATTGGGCTGGTACACTACAAAGGGCAAGTCCGCTTGGACTCGCTTGGCTTACTTTCAGCTCGAGCAATGCTTGAGCCCCGGAGCCCGAGCCGAGTAATTGAACCTTGCTACTAAGTTTACAATTGTTTGTCGAACTATCTTATTTGAAGAGTGAAGGGACTGTATTTGACTTTCATCCCAATAACGAGGAATACCCAAATACAAGTATACAAATAGGAGAGGGGCTGGCTTTCAATCTTGCTAATACGACCCACTGATATCTTCAAAAAAAAGTTAGCCCCCTGATCTATTTGAAAAAACAGGTAGGGCATGTCTTCCCCACTGAATTATCCAAAAAAAATAAAATAAAGTGGATTTTATGTGCTTTAGATGGATGTCTTAAGTGTAAAGTGTTAGTGAGATTTTATTTTTCTAATTTAGGGTTAGGATATCACTGAAACCACGAAATAATGACAAAAAAACAATAAAAATATACAAGTGGACTTGATGTGCTTTGGATGAATGTTTTAATGGTAAAGTGTAAGTGAGATTTTATTTATCTAATCTAGGGTTAGGATATCACTGAACCACGAAATAATGACAAAAAAAACAATAAAATCTGCCCAATAGGAATTGGTTTTTAATTCAGTTCGAGAGGGAGATTACTAAAAGGAAAAAGTCTATATAAGGTTCCAATCTTATACTATAGAAGGCACGTTTCAAAAATTTATTAGAAAATAGTACTTTGAAGTCTAGGAATACTCACACTTTTAAGGTCTGAAGTAACGACAACTTCAAAACAAGGTCTAGGGAAAAAAAAAATTTATAACTTCGAACTTTCAAGGTCTGAAGTTCGGTAAATGTCGGAAATGAAGGTGTAAAGTCTAGCCACATTGGATCTTGTGATCAAATTTTGGATCTCGAAGGTCCAAAACAAATGGAACTCGAAAAAATCCAAAGAACACTTCGGGTATGGAGGTTGGAAGTGCTTTTTTAAACTCTAGAGAGCATTTATGATTTGGTGATTAAATTTTGGATCTTCAAAGTCCAAGGCAAATAGAATTCATAAAGGTGGGAAAAAGCAAATGGAACTCGAAACAATCCAAAGAGACCTTCGGGCTTGGAGGTTGGAAGTGCTTTTCTGAATTCTAGAGAGCATTTTTTATCTTCAAGGTATGAAGTAAAAATTTTTCATTAGCAGTTCGGATTTTAAATGTGAAGTTGGAAAAAAAACAAAAAAAGGATATGAACATATAGAATATAAAAAATTAAGGAAATTCTTCTAAGCTTTTAGAGGGAATTAAAGACACGAGCTTAAATTTATCTTTAATAACCAATGAACAAAAATTCGTTTGCCTTTCCACCTAGGCAGCTTGGCCAGGAAAACCGCTTAGGTGGCTTGGCCAGCAAACACATCCACACAAAACATACGACCTTCACCCCAAACCCTTCCCTTAGTTTGACCATGGGTTCCTAAGTGACACAAACAAACTGCCCGCGGAGCCCACCTATGTGGTCCAGACCTTTTGGCCGCCTGGGTCGCTGCCTTTGCCTTTTTAAACATTGATCTTAACAAAGGCACACCTGCTTTATTTTTTTTTAGTAAACAAGAAAAATATCGTACAGTTAGCAGAAACCAAAGTATTGAGAACAAGACTTTTTATCTCCTCATCCCATTTTTAAACTTACAAAAGCCCCCATCCTGGTTTACTGTAGTTCTAGGGTTAGGGTTTTTTGTGACCTACTTGGCAACCAACTAAAGAGGCCACCCAATAATAACCTTGCAACTACATGGTAATAGCAATGGGATGGGATAGGCCTGCCCGTTGCGTAGCCCGAATCTTATAGGGCCTGTTGAGCTCGGCCCAGGCACCACCTTGATAGGGCTCGCCTATTACACTCAATGAATAAAAAAGGAAAGTGATAAAAAGAAAAAAAAAAGAAAAAGGAAGCATTAGCTGATACTAGGTGGGCCTTGTCATAGGCCTGGTCTTTGAGCTGTAGTGTTCCGGTCCTCTTGCCACATTGGTTAGCTTAAACCTTAATTTTTTCAAGCCAGGGTTGCTTGGCCCGTTGCCCACGTTAAAAAAAATTGAAAAGTAAATAGATTTATCTTTGTTATTTTAAATTTTTAAACTTGGTATAAATAGAAAAAACGGGAAATATATAATGAAACTATTGACCAAGGTTAAAATTCAAAAAAAAATTGATTGAACTTTGTGGCATATTCAAATTACGAGATTTCACATCGGATGGTTGTAAATAACTATATCAAGATAAATAATTTCATTATATGTAATTCTAAAAGAAAAAAGACCACCTCAAAGTTTTCTAAAATGACCTGGTGCCTCTTCTCACAGGGCTGACTAGAAGACGCTTACAAGAAGATGGAACTTACTTGTTCCTATAGGAGTTTCATGTTCGATGAAAAAAACAAGTAAATAAAAACAGTTTCATGTTCGATAAAAAAAACAAGTAAATAAAAAAAGGTAACTTAACAGGAACTTACCTGTTACCTCTAGGCTTAGAAAAAGTTCCATGTAAAAAAACGGAACGGAATTTGAAAAGTAAAAAAATAAGTTATCGACCCCCGACTGCCCTCGCGAAGAAAGAAGAGGGTATTTGCTTGCCTTGCCCCCGACTGCCCTGACCACGAGCGGAGACCATTTCGCACCTACGATCCTCCTATATCTCACTTTTTTTCCCTCTCTGCTTTTTCTCTCGCCTGATTTTTTTTCTCTATCCCATCGTTTTTTTGCTCTCTCTAATTTTTTCTCAAAGTTCCGAACATGTTGAAAATGGCTCTAGGGTTTTCTCTAGATATTTTTTTGTGGTAAATTGTTCTATGCAGGGAAAAAACTAATTTGGCTGTTTTTTTGGTAAACAATTCTCTGTAGAAACCTTGCCCCTCATCCCTCCACTCAAGCCTTCCTCTCTTCACTCCAACCAAATTTCACAGTTCTCTGATTTTCCAATTCTTCTTTTCATCTGGTTTATTCTACTACACAGGTGACAATTATAACCATTTGGTGTCCCCTTTTTATTTTTTCGTTTTTTGTGACTGCTATCATCTGAAAATGAGATATTCAATGAGATTGCTTAAATTTGATTCATGGTTAGCTTATTTTTTTTCTTCATTGATAGTTCTTTTGTTGGTCGTGAAGAAAAGAAAGAAAAAAAATTGCAGTATTGCTTTCCTTTTTGCCATAGGTTTAGATTAAGTTTACTTTTTATTTTTCAATACCAAGCATAGTGTTTTATCTGACCCTTGAGAATGTAGTTATAGAATCATCAAACAAAAAAAAAAACAACTTGTTATAGATTGACTGGAATTTTTTGCAAACAACAACATTTCTCAAGGAAATCAGCAGGAAATTTGTTGAGTTTGTTGTGGAATTTTAGTTCAGGTAATGGTTGAAGAATCCAATATTCAATTTAATTAATCCTGACTATTGGATGTATAGAGTAGTTTTTCTAGGCAAAACAGAACAAATCATTGCCATGAAGTTTGAATGAGAGAAAATTGATTATCTTTGATGATTGAGGTGAATTTTAGTTATGATAGTGATTGGGGTAATTGTTAAATATTTACAGGTTTATTGCTTCTAAAGTTTGTATAACTCTTTCATATGACTGAACTATCCAAAAAAGAATGTCAATGTTGCTCACCATTATAATTTCAATGCTGCTCACTATTATACAGTTTATAGTTTGTTATCAGTTGAAAACTGGCCATTCATATAGCTGTATTGAACTTATTTTCCTCACGAATGAATATATCGATAGTAACATAGCTTTAGATGTTTGATGCTCTCTTTTGGTTTTTTCTAATGATGTTTGATAAGCACATAATATGGTTATTCTGTCTGTGTGTGTAGACTACAGAGTAAGGACTGTTATGTAACTGATTAAAGAGTATTTTGTTTGTGTGTGTAGACTACATCATAATTTTGTCTGTGTGTGTAGACGACAGTGTAAGGCCTGTTATGTAACTTAGAACTTCCTTATATTCCAGTAGATTATCAAAGACAGAGACCCATAACTTCTTTAACGTTCCAGCAGGTTATCAAACACAAAAATCCAAAACTTCCTACAGTAACTTTTTTCTTCTCAACAAAGAAGAATGGAACATTTACCTTCCAGTTATCAAACACGCCCTCAAAGGATAATAGCTCTGCTGCAGTGGCTCTCTCTCTAACGCTTGCCATTCTCAAATTCTCTCTCCATGGGGGATGGCAAGCAAGCTTCCTCACCTCCTTCGGAAACTCTCTTATGTTCCTTCTCTCTTTATCCCCCATCTCTCATCTATCAACCCACCTTCTTTTTCAACCAGGTAATCTCTCTCTCTCTATCTCTCTCTCTCCATTTGTTTTTAGGTTTTTGTTCCCCTTGTGCAACTGTAACTATTGGTGGGGTTTTTGTCAACATCTCGTGTTCTCCATTGAAGCAGGTCAATTTTGGGCCAATACCCATTTCTTAGTTCTTACTCGTCTTCTCTCACTCCTCCGCTTTCTCTCTCATCCCCTGGTTTTGGGTCATGGCCATTTTCATGGGGTTTCAAGTTTATGAGCCATGGCTCTGTGAGAGTGGTCCTTTCAGGTGGAACCCCAAAGTTCGAAGCTCAGGAAATGGAGCCACCGAAGAAAGAGAAATGGAAAACAAAGAAGAGACTGAAGGATATGAGGAAGAGAGAGAAAGGGAAAAGGAAAATGGCGAGCAAAACTGATCCAAGACGCCTAACACCAAAGGGAAAGAAGAAGAAGAATAAGTTCCCCGATGCAGAGGAGAGGATAAAGAACAAGATTGAGCAGGTAATGTGAAAGAACTCCTTTTCTCTCTCTATCATAGCTTTCCAAAATTATTCTATAAAACTCCTCTTTCTCTCTCTCTATTGTTAACTTAATTACTCAGAAAATGGATGGCCATTATACTCTATTATACAAAATTATTATACTCTATTATACAAAATTGGGTTCAGCAATGTACAAAACTTATGTGTAAAACTTTGTAATAGCAGTAGACTGTCGCTTTCCTTTTCCAAGGGAGGGGCATTCTATCTCTTTGAGATCCATGACTTTTTTTTTCTTTTTTTTTTTTGGTTGTCCTTTGATAGATAACTCATGCAATCTCATAACTTTCATCTCCTTCTATTTTCACCTGCCTCAAACACCATAGCCCTTGTAACAACTCTCTCACACTTCTGTCTCATCCAGGTCGCACTGAGATAGCATCCTGCCAGCCTGGAATATATATATATATATATATATATATATATGGGTGCAGTTTGTATAGAGCCTAGGCTCTAAACAATCAAATTACAACCTACCTTCAAATAGTGTCGAGAAATGTGTTTCAATACTGAAAATCTTTGTGATAGACTTAAAATATATTTTCATCTTTATTTATAAAGTTCAAAGCTTTAAAAATAGTGTAGATCGACAGATCTATGAAAACTTGAAATCCATTTTTTTCTCATATCCATGCATCTTGATGTTGAAATGATCAATTTGAGGATATTTGGGACTTTTTCATATATATATATATATATTTGGAAAACCTTCCGAACACTTGGCAGCTATAATGAATAGTAATATAGGTGGAATCCCAGCCGTCAGATCTTCATAGAGTGGTTTTCAAAATACATATCATTATTTTAATTTTAATTTTTGTCTGTAAATATGATAAAATGAAATTTTGTGTTTTTATACCTAACACTATTGAGCACCATATAAAAATATAAAAAAAAATATTTCCAATAATTTAAAATGACCAAATTACCCCCATCATCTTCAGGTGTATTTTGGTCATTTTATACTTTGGGAAATATTTTTATATATTTTTAATTGTGCGCCTTAATTTTTAGTACACACGTCTAAAATTTCATTATGATCCGATTTCTAGAAAAAATGTTAAAATTTATATAATGATATGCATTCTGAACCACATGATGAAGATCCGACGATTGGGATTCTGTCTATATTACTATTCATTATAGTTGTCGGTGTTTGTTAGCTTATATATATATATATATATATAAATATATATGAAAGATACTACAAAACGTCTATAGGCGAAAATGAACAGTGATTTCGCCTACCTTCATTATTGTCGAAAGTTCATCGCACAGTCACGATTGTCCAGTAGTGTTTCATTTTTCAATTTTTTTTTTCTATAAATCTGAATGATCTGAAATTTAGAGCATGTGTATATCTTAGTAAGGCGCAGATAATAAAAATATAAAAAAAATAATCAAAGAAAAACAATTGACCAAAATATCCCTGAAACTTTTCGGGGGGTATTTTGATCAATTTATTTT